CGGACAGCAAGCTGTACGCATGAATTGTAGGTTTGTTTTGCCCCTATGTTTTGGGAAAATATTTCACTTCAGCGGAGCCCATACCGAAACACAGTTTGATCCTAGTGGGTATCCTTTTAAGGAATCTAATTTAGGTCGCTAAGCACTTTACCCTTCATTATTTAGTGATCCAATGTTTAAAGAATTTTATTTCTAAGGGGAATTGTTCTGTCAAACAAATTCCACTTTGGTGAAGAAGAAAAAAAAAGTCTGTGTTCTTTTGGGAAACTGCCAATGTTTTTAGAGCAATGTTCCTATTTTTTTTTCTTTTTTGGTGGCTCCATTACAGCTGTTTTCTACGCCATCTCCTCGCACAGCCATGTGGCTGCTGCTGCTTCCTCCACCCCCTAGCTGAGCTCTGCAGCGCCTTCGCTCCCTGTGCTCCTGTGGGCCAGTTCTGCCTTCCTGCCCTCCCCACAGCATCTGCCGTCTCTGGACCACACCAGTGCTGGGTCCGTGCCTCACAGCCCAAGCCCCAGGCTCGTAGCAAGGTGCCCCAGCTCCCTCTTGTCGCCACCTTTCCCTCCCCCTTCCTTGAACCAGGCCTTCCCAAGTGTTTTGCACCTGCAGCACCGACCTCCTGCTCCCCTCTCTCCTGATGGCCAGGAACAATTGCTCCAGGGACGTGGGACACTCTGAGCTGTGGCTTGAGCTGGAAAATACATTCAGCTGTCTGAATGATGAAGCTGAAGGCGCAAGACACCAATTGGAGGCGTCTTCATTTTTCAAGAATTCCTGGAGCTTGTCATCCTCAGCTTCATATGAGATTTGTTCTTTGCACGCCATCCTGGAAGCAGCGGGTCCCGCTGGTTTACTCCAATTTTTTAATGCTGCAGCAATGCTGAGCAGGGATAACTGCCTTGGCTCTAAGTAGGCTGTTCCTAAAGAAAACGTCCCCAAAGGCAAATAGCCCAAAGAAGTGGGGCCTGCCTCATTTTTACAGGCTTCTAAAGATTCCAAATTCACAAACGATCATTTTGTTGTTTCCTGAGCCACTTTATATTTAAAAACAAACAAAAAAGCCAACAACAAAGTGTAAAGTTTGCCAACTAGCTCAAATCCGTAGTTCTCATCCAAAACATATTTTACCTTATTTTCAGGAAGGTGAAGGCCTAAAGAAGTGATGAAAATGTGATTGCTCTCAAACACATGGAGGAGAAGATGCTGAACAAAATGCAATAAATGCATCCTTTTCCAATAAAGTTCCATCAAACACAAGCCCACTTTTTAAACACATTAATTAAAAATATGAATCACTGACCTGCCATTCGCATGACTGTACCTAATCTATTCAAAAGAGATGTTCTGTCAGCACCACCACTATCAGCATGGATAAGTGAAAACATGAATGACTAACCTATCCCGATTTTATTTTTTAAAACCTAATTTTGAAATCCCTGTGCCATTTTGGCTGAGCCAGTACCTGTTTCCATGGAAATGGCAGCATACAAAACGTTGACATATTTGAGAGCGAGCGAGCGCTACTTAAACATCTGCTTCCCCGATACCACCAGCTAGACTTTAAAATAAAACTGGCTCTCACATTTGGTGGAGCTGGTTTACAAGAGAAATCAAACAGCATCTTTAAACGATGGCCTAGCCCAGATCCTTTTGTTTAAACAATATGTCCAGATAGCGACAGCAGTATGCAGTGTGCTGAATTCTTGTTTTAAGGCTCATGCATAAATAACTTCTCATCTATACGGCGATGCATTTAAGGAGTAATCTCTTGAAAAAAGCAGCTAACGGGACCAACAGACCTTTTCCTATCTTTTCATAAGCTCACACCCAGTTTTCAGACATAATTCCAAGTGTTTCGCTTCACCTTACAGCTTTGCATCGCTAAGCGCTCAGCGCTGTCACTGTTAAGAACATTTTGAAGCGAGGCAGTGTGGTGAGGATGAGCAACTACCCTTCATCAGAGCCTGGCTTGTAGCCACGGTGGTGTGAAGAGGCCGGTATTTGAAGCAGATTTCTGACTGCGTTTCTTTACCAGCAATCTCTTCAGCCAGCCAGGCACACTGCCCTTCTAGGGGTCATGTTAGCTGAAAATGTATTTACCCTAAATTTTTTTTCTACAATGATTTCTTATTAGTTCATTCTTTTCCCTACCCTTACTTAGGTACCTGAAGAGTAACGGCTGTACCCCAGCATATCCCTGCAAACACACCAGACTGAATTAAGAGTATGGAAAAAAATGGCTTCCTACTGATTGGAGATCTAAGGAAAAAAGAAAAAGCAAATCAATATGCAATAAGAAGAAATCTATTTTCTCTTATTTTGCCCGAGCGTATACCTGAACAACCTGTATTAATTAACTTGTGAGACACGGATGGCCACTGGTTTCATTCTTTCATCCCTTATTTTTAAGAAGTGAAAAACATTTAATTTTCCCATGGTACTACATTTAGAGAAAAAAATGCCTTAGCTGATAAAACTTGATTTATCCCTCTGCCTCCAATTCTTCATCAAAAAATAAAATAGAAAAAACAAACAAACATAAGGAACAGTACTTTTGCAAGTTAACTGCAAGTGATCCGAACAGCTATTGGGGCTAGCAGTGACTACACAGAGTCTGAGTTCTCTAAAACATTTTGCAATAGCTCACAGCATTCCAAAAGTTTGTTAAGGGATAGCCTAGAGACTCTATTTCCACTTTCATTCCCTACACTTAATTTTTCAATCTACTAATAAAACTCATCCTGGGGTGGTAATGAAATGGAAACCCCATTGTTCGCAGAGCAGAGGACGGGCACACGCCCGCAGTAACCCTGTTAGCAGCACTAAGCTCATCCCTGGCACAGGGCTTTGATTCATGCTACTCAACTTCAGGCACTCAGCAAAGATAATTTGAGAAGTGTGTAATTGTTCTGGGTTTCCTTTTAGCTCATGGCAAGGAACAGGCTCCTCCCAATGGAGATTCAGCGCTCTCCCATCTTCCATGATGGAGACAGACAGGCAGAGTGCCTGACGCCAGGAGGGATCAGTCCGGTGAAGTGACTGATCCAACACATTTGGATCTTGCCTTATAAGATCATTTTCATGGGCCCAATTCAACATACCCTGAGTAAAGGCATCCCACAAATCCCCATCAGAGAAATCTATCCATCCTAAAAAAAGAAAAAAAAAAAAAAAATAGGAACAAGAAGTAATACGTCCTGAACGTGTGCACTTCTTTGGAAGCTTTCCACATAACTCAACCCTTTTCTACTTCCCTCTTGCCATTTCAAAAGCCAAGCGTAGTAGCTACCACGACTGCCAGGTCACAGAAAGAGTAAATGGAGTAAAAACTTATCTCATTGCCGTGCTGTCTGAAGTTGTTCTGCTCCCAGCCAAGAAGTCTTAGGGTGGGTGAAGCCAGTGTTCAGAAATGCCTGCAATACTTCTCCTATCTCAGTCTCTGAAACTTACTTGAACTCTAGAAGCTGCACAGGCTAAATAAACAACTGTTACACGTAGCCCTTGGTGTAAAGGAATAATGGCAGCTGGCCAAACAGCAGACGTTTGGATGCCTTCGTTCTTTAGGGACAGGATGCAAACCCCAGATTTTGGCATCCAGTAGAATAATGGGGTAATTAAAAATATAATGCAGGCTGTGGCAGCGGGGTTATTGAGAGAATTGCTTTCAGTGCATTGTGAACTATCTGCAACCACTTAACTACGGTGATCTCTACCGACCTCTTAATTAAAGAATAACACCACCTTACAGCTTCAAAGCACAGTACAGATGTAAACTAATTAACATGTAACAACTGTGTGAGGAAGTTTAGGAAAATACTAAATTCCTCAAACACTTAGAGCTGATACCATATCAAAGGCCAAGAAAATTCTTGCAATTGCCCCATTTCCTAAAGGTTTCAAATGCAAAATTAGAAAAGAACAGAACACCTATACACTTTGCATAAATAATCAAACTTTAAAAACCCCAATTGTAAAAGGCTGTACTTTAAAAGCACTCATAAGTCCATGTAAATTAATGTTCGGATGCCAAAAATATTTTGCTCAAGGTCAAACTGAGAAAATACATATTCCCAAGTCATTTTTGATCAGCAAGTGATTGCAGTACTTTGTTTTTATGCCCAGCCCTGAAGAGAAATCTGACTTGAGGAGACATTAGCATACAAATGGGATATGAACTTTCAAAGCTTATGCAACTGCTACTCCATTACAGACGCTCAAATCAATTACATTGTTAAAAATCAGAGGAAAAAAATCTTTGTTTCAGCTTAAAATATGAGTACTCTCTTATACCTCTGAGACATAAATGCAATTTGAAGCTGGTAGAAGTTTAGCACATTAAGAACGGGGGAAAAAAACAACCCAAGTTCAGTCAGTGCTCTCCCTGCCACTATTTTCTTCCCTCCCCTCCTCCTTACTTCCATTTTCCTCTCCCCCCCACAAAAAAGGGTTGGAGAGGAGACTGAATTCTCCTCTCAAGATGATTTAATTCAGTCTTCAAATTAGAGGGATGCTTATCCTGCTTAGTGGGAAAAGCCTCAGCACAGCAGCAACCACATGAATTCCAGGTACCTCTGTAACGAACAGATGGAAAACAATTAACAGCAAGCTGAAGACTCTGCTACCTAGAGTGAAGGATGGTTTCAATGCCTTGTATTAGAAGTCCAAGCACCTACACCAAACAGTTGAAGAAATAATTCGTTCTAGTTCATCCCACTATCCGATTTTGTAGGTTTTCAGTAGACAGATTTTCCCAAAGCTTGCTCAAAGTTACACAGATCCCACAAGAGCCAAGACTCACTGTTGAACCTAATTTAGTTTAAAATTAGGAGAACCAAGCTGCTGGGTAGTATCTCACCAAAAGGGAAAAAATAGCTCTGTATTAAATAGATGAAAAATAACCTTTTTTTTTTGAGAAATTTAACAGCTGCAGAGAGGATTCTGCTTACATTTCTTAAAGACTAAAGTGACAAATGACAGGATGAAAACAGACACCAAATAACTAGTGATATATGCATTTTATTAAATATTATTTTACATTTTCATATAGACAAAATCATAACCAGTGAAAAACAAAGCCTGCAGAGCAAAAGACTTCTTGTAAGCACTTTGCAGTGCAAAATTACACACTCTCAGTGATTCACAGCATGATTTGCCTGGGAAATACACCAGGGTGACTGGACCTGAGGCTGTCATGCACTTCTGCTTCAGTGGAACATTAATACCTGCCACAGACCCTCTGCAGAAACCACCAGTTTGATAAGAGGCTGCGTGAAACCCCCGCCCCTCCCCTGCACTGCATTGTTTGACCCGCCCGAGGCCAAGCCACAAGTGGAGGAGGAAGAGGAGCCGGGTCCTTACCTTCAGTTCATGGCACAGCCTGGGCAGCGTGGCACTCCCCCGACTTCTCTGCACACACAACCACGTCCTGCTCCCTTCAGACTGAACAAACGTGTGTGCGCGTGGACTTGGAGAATTCACCGCCACAAGCTCACTGCTTCCCACCTGTAGTAGAGCAACTGAAGCATTTCCCTGCTCGCATGCAGCCAAACACACCACAGAACAGTGATTGCTTCAACTTCCACGGCACAGGAAAAGATCAAATTTTACTTGAATTCATGACATCGCATTTCCCTAAAGCCCTGTTCCTCAGGTAGCAGCAACAGTAACACAGTGCCAGCAGTCTATTATTAAACTTGCTCAAAACCTGGTGTGAATTATCAGCTTTGTGTTTCCTCCAAACAGTGAATTAACAGAAGTGATTAACACCTGTCAAAGCGTTCTTACATTCTCCCACGACAAAGGCACATGTGCAGTGGAGTGTCTTCCTATCGTAGGCTTGCTTTATGTAAACGTCAAGTACCACAAGTTTGTCTGGATATTGGAAAAAAGCTGGATCAAAACAAAAAAAAAAACTACAGAAAGCTCACGGGGATCTTATGAATGTTCATAAATACCCCAGGGGGGATGTGGTGAGGTCAGGCTCTTGGCAGTGCTGCCCAGGGCCAGAACAAGGGGCCCTGGGCAAAAACTGGAGCCCTGGAGGTTCCCCCTGGGCCCCAGAAGCAGTTCTGTGCCTGCGGGGCCGCAGCCCTGGCACAGGCCGTGCTGAGAGGTGCTGGGGGCCCTCCTGGAGAGCTCCAGCAGCCGCCTGGACGTGGCCCTGCTGGGGGACGTTGGGCCAGAGGCACCCAGAGGTGCAATAGCTAGAGCTTTTTAAAGACTCCAGCACCGAGGATACCGTGTTTCTTAAAGAAAATAGAAGAAAAGGAAGTGGGGACATATATACCTATTTAGTAGGCTACACTGGAATTTTCAAGACAGAGAGAAACAGGGTTATGATACTGATGCAAGAACTTCCTGCTGAGAAACCAGCGTGCTCTCAATCCCTCAACCTGTATCAATGTCTTCCCACGTAGCAAGGATGGGGTTGCTAGTATGGACACCACAGTTTAACTTCCCCAAATCGGGCTTGACCACTTGCAGATGTGTATTTGCATCCCCACAGGACTGTTTCTTGACTGTAGACACTTCAAAGACATTCTGTGCTAGATCAAACATGCGTTTAAGTTGGTTTAAATTTGTGCTTGCCTTTGTTTCTGAACAGGCGCAGAGTACCATATGAATCCTGATTCCTGTCAGCTGCAGTGTAAGCAGTCAGAACACCGCGTCTGGGGCTGCTCCTGGACAGCCAGATTGGATCACAGACGTCTAGGCACAAAGGAGCAAGCAGAGCCTGGTAGCTGCTTCTCATTTAAGTCAAGCGCACGGTTCTGTTTCCCTATTAAACAACATTTCTTCCCTTCAGATAAGCAAGAGAAACAACAAATACTGGAAATAGGTGATTTTAAAAATTTAAACCCAAACAAGAATCGTTTTGTTTACACAACTATCTCTCATAGTCACATCAGAGTTATTTTCACTTTGGCAGAATAAACTACACTCAACAACTGTGCTCAGAGTAGCAGCTGGTACCTACACATGAAGAAAGATGAAGAACTTAAAGGGCCCCCACATTACCCAGGGAATAAAACCCTTTTCCCCAGAAAAATACAAAGCCCCTCAGGCAAGATTTAGGAATGCACCATCTTCAGCTTATGAAACAGAATTCCAGGCGTGACCTGATCCTTGTGTGTGGGTCCTGACGCACGGAAGAAGAACTCCAGCAGCATACAACTTCGGAGTCTTGCTGAGAAGTGCTGGACGCAATTGCTGGAAGTTACATTCAAACCTGTAACAAAACACAATCCCTAAATGCAGACATACGAAACGGCTTCCCAGGAGAAACGGGTGGACTCACCCATGCTGAGTCTCTGTAACGAATAGGAAAGTCACTCCAAAGCAAGTCGTTTTCAACGAGCATGATGAGTGTGCAAACAAAAAGCTAACAGATCAGTGAGACTTTGGGGATGCGGGAAGGTGAATTTGGGAGGAAATCATAAAATATGAAGAACGGCCTTTCAGATGAGCATTCACAGAGTACAACATTTCAAGAATGTGCAACGCTGCTGGCAACTATGCATTTTTTTCCCTTCAGTTTCTCTGTAAAGTGAAGAAAACATGCACCTAGAATATCTCAGTCTGACAGTCCTTGAAATCTACTGTCAAGGGAAAAACCTGCTGTTGCCAATACACGAGCCTTCTCTGAAGCAAGCACACGTTCCAAGCCTGTAACGCTCCACGTGTATACACGCAGACACAGCACTCTTTAGTGTTTTCCAATTTAGTGTTTGCCCATTTTACACACAGGCAGGGCTAACACTCCTTGCATGTTATGCGTTATTAACATGGGGAACAAGTTTCAGCAGGAGGACCTTTGAACTTTTGCCTTCACAGCAATGCCAATTAACAATATGACTTCTTGTGTTCCCACCTGACACAGGACCAAGACCTCCAACTCCAGTACCCTCCAATTCCCCCTCCCTGATAATCTGAGGATGGCACAAGAGCACTGCGGAAGACATATTTAAATATTCCTTAGTACAGAAAAGTACCCCTCTCTTTCCTGTAAAGATTAGTTTGAACCCTGAGTCACATGCTTTAGTAGCTCTTCTAAATGTTGTTTTTTTTGGCTTTTGTTATAAATGCACTAGATGGTTTTGGTATTCGTACAGATATCTGCTTGCGTCGAATCCTGCCAAACGATTTCCTCTGGCAGCTAGTTCCACTTTAATTACATCGCTTGAAAAAGTATTTCCACCTACCATTTTTCAAAACTCCCACTTTCTAAGTATCACTGATGTCCTTTTGGGCTCATGCGATGAGACATCACAAAGTTATCTTGCCGTACTAGTTCCTCTTAATGGACTGACAAACAGTTTAATTAAGTTTTAACATGTCCAAGCTAACCTTTTTCCGCAGCTGATCGTACAAAAAAAATTCAAGTACAATGCTTAATGATTGTGTTTAGAGATACCTGAATGCTCTAAAGGAATAAGGCCTGTTCTGAATAAGTACTACACCGTTCCCGCTGCTTTTTTTATGACCTTTTTTCTTCAGAAACTAAAGGTAAAATTATTTTTATAGTGTCTTCTGCTAAAGAACGAGTCCTGTGATAAAATTTTAAAACAAATTTTGGCTTCACAGCAGCAGATGCGGTTCAGTTTAACAAGCCAATAAATAATATAAGCGACTAGAGAGCTGGGACTTTTATAATGTGATGGGGGCTTAAAAGCTAGAATGGGAGTCAACAGGTATTAGAAAAAGAAAGCGCACGGTACCTGCGGGTCTCTGCCTGCTGCTCTGCCAGAGTGCCACAAAAGCTGCTTTTGTGGAAGCGTGCTGCTTCCACACCAGCTCCAGAAGCCGTCCTAAGGTCACCAAGCACGTTACTCTGAGAACCGAAGAGTTCTGTTTACAAGGCTGGGCGGCTAACAGCCACCTCCGACAGAAAGAAAACTCGGACAGACGAATTGAGAAGGTCGTAAATGGCCAACCCAGCCCCGCCACCTCCCTGCTGCCCACAGGGACCCCCCAGCGCCTCACGAGAGGCTGCCCAGAAGTGGAAAACAGCGAAGAAAAGCGTAAATCGAGCTCCACGTTTGGCTCGGGAGGTGCCTGAGAGCAGCACCTCAGCCCTGGCAGGCGGCAGCGCACAGCACGGCCGGGCCTGAGGGGAGGGCAGGGGGCGGCAGGGCCCCCCCCCCGGACCGCTCTCCCGCTGCGGGGCAGGCTCGGGGGGGGGAGCGAGGCGGCCACCTCCGCACCCCGGAGACAGAGGGGGGCGGGGGGGAACCGAGCCGAGCCCTGCCGGGCCGAGCCGGGGCCGCTCCCCTCAGCCCCGCGCCTCAGGGAGCGGCGGTGGCGGCGGGCGGGGCCGCTCCCCTCACGGCTCCCCCTTCCCTCACAGCCCCCTCACAGCTCCCCCCCTCTCCCCTCACAGCCCCCCCCCCGCCTCACCTCAGGGCCCGGCCCGGCCCAGAGCCGCTCCTTGAGGCACCCCCGGTCCTCAGCAGCGGGGGCAGGCACCGAGCCGAGCCGAGCCGGTCCCGTCCCCATCCCCGTCCCCACCGCCCGCTCCCCTCCTTCCCGGCCTGCCCGGCGCTGCCGGCCCCCGGCGGCCCCCTCCTCCTCCTCCCCCGGCCGTGGCTGCGCGTGCGCGGCGGCCCCGCTGCCATCCGGGTCCCTCGGTGCGGTGCAGCAGGTCGGTAGGCGGGAAATGGCGACTGGCTGCTGAGCGCCCGCGGAGCGCCGAGCCCCGGCGGCGGCGGCTGTGGCTGTGGCGGCGGCGGCGGCGGCTGTGGCGGTGTAAACACAGCGGCACCCGCACGGCCCGGCCCGGCTCCGCGACGCCGCGGCCTCGGCCCGGCACGGCCACCTCCGGCCGCCGGGGGCCCGGCCAGCGGGGGCCCGCCTCCCCGGCACCCCGCGCCCGCAGGTAAGCGAGGCGGCGGCTGCGGGCAGCGCGGGGTCCCACGGGGGACACGGAGAATTTGGGGAGGGGGGCAGGAAAGAGAAGGAGAAGGAGAAGGGGCGGCGGCGGTGCGGACACCGGGGGTGGGGGGTGGGGGGAGCGGCCACCGGGGGGGAGCCCCCCGCGCCCCTCACGCCCCCCTCACGCCCCTCACGGCCCCGTTCCGAGCTCCCTCCCCGCGCCCCCTCGGCTTCGCTCCCCTCCGCCCGTCGCTGCCCGGTGGCCCCGGGGCTCCGCCGGCCCCGGTGTGGGGGCGGCTGTCAGCCCCTCGCCGCGCCCCCCGCCCGTTCCAGGCCTCGGCCTGCGGGGTGCCCGCCCCGGCGGGTGCCGTCCCGGGGCTGCCCCGGCGCCGCCGTTGTCGTGGCGCTCGCTCCCGGCCCGTTGTTTGCTGGCGGCCTCGCTCCCGGCCCTCCCGAGCGCTCGGAGGAGCGGCCCCGGGGCGGGGGGAGCCGCCCCCGGCCGGGCTGTGGCGCTGAGCGGCCGCCGGTGCCGCCCGGTGGGCTCGGCGTGGGGCCGCCGCGCCGCTGCCTCGGGCGAGTCGCAGCCTCTGCTGCCGCTCGTCCCTGGGTGAAACGGGGCTAATAATACCTCGGAGAGTTGTTGCGAGAAGTAGTTAATGTTTGTAGAGGGCTTAAAAGACCTAAGTGTTATTAATTAAGCCCCATGACACATTAAGGTAAGAGTTAGTGAATCAGGTTTACACGCGGATGAACCGAGGCAGGAAGAGATTATGATTTAGCTGGAGTAACGCGTTGGATCGGTGACAACAACAGAAAACAAGTTGTAACTACTTCGCGCTGTAGGCACAAGTGAACAGTTCTGTGTAACAGAAACGCTTCCAAGATGATTTCCCCTCCCTCCGTCCCCCCCCTCCACCCCCCCAAACCGGAGCCTTTCTGCCTCAGTTTCTCCTGTGTGACTTCCCGTGCAGTGGATAGCTCCAAGGACACTTGCGGCTTGCCCACTTAAAAGTGTTTCAGCAGTTTTCATAACAAGATATATGTTCTAGGATGCAAGCCAAATCCAGGCTTGAATTCCATAAAACATTCTCCACTTTTCCCCTGAAAACATTGTGTGGAACTTAGTTAAGACTTGATCCTGTTCCAGTCAGCGGAGTATGCACTGAAGCTGACATTCCTGTTTCATCTGAGAAAGTTCCTTCGTTAAAGAAGAAATTCTGCTGTCATTCTGTCCCGCAGATTTAACGGCAGAGTTAGATCATTTTCTTCTAGCGATGTAAACATTCCACATATGCTGGAGCTGCACACGCATTTTCATAATTTAAAGGTAATTTTCCATCTCCAGACTTCCACCGCGAGTGTTGGTAGCTTCCTTCCCCGGCGTTGATTCCCCGGCAGACTGACATGACACTGCTGCAGGCTGAGTAGCATCGAGTGATTAAAACTCCTACCCAATCCAAAAGGAAAGTTAGCCTCCATCTTACGGAGTTTTTCCATTCTCTATTGGCATTTGTTGTCTTTGATCACTTGCAATGCTAGTGAGGTTGACACCAACAAAAATACTGTTTCCAGAAGCCTAACAATCACTTTTTCCTCTTCTGACAGTTTTCTGTGCAGATATCTCATTCCCGTGGAATAAACTTTTTCATAGGTGTAAGTGGAGTAAGAGCTTGGAGTTCCTGCACATTTTTGTTAGGAGCTAATACTGGAAGTCAAACTATTTTGGCAAGAGCTCTCAAGAGAAGGCAAAACAGCATGCATCGAGTAGGATTGGAATTTGGCAGAAATTTAAAATTAATGTGCGTTTCTAGACATCTGTATTCTCTGACAGAAGCTCGAGACTTCTTGTCCTTTAGAAGGGGTAACTGGAAGTTCCAGAACGTCTTCGGGATGGATTCAAATTTGCAACTGAAGAGTTGGACTCAGCGTAGCTGTTTAACTCTGAAGCTGCCTGTTCCAATACCTGGGGTCACGACTCTTCCCTACTCAAAGCCTGTACAAGCTCTTACCCATCCGTGGGTTTTCAGCCTGGTCTCCCTAGGGGAGCCAATTCCTAGGGACCGCAGCTTTTGGACCTTGCTAGCATCAGCTCAGGAGTATCCCCAGCCACAGACTGCTCCCCAAATTCTCCCCCTGACTCCATCCTTATTCCCCCTTTCTCAGGAGCATTCCTCTCAGCAATCCTCCTTTCCCTTCTGATTCATTGCTCTGATCAGCTCAGATGTGATGCTTCTTACTCTTATTAGCCCAGGAAGTAAAGGACCAAGTCTGAACAAAATTCTTTCCTTTTTCTGGCAGCTGGCATTCGCACTCCAGCATTGGCACCAATCTCTTGTAAAGTTTTAGCGGAAGATTGTTTCCATCTATTGTATGTGAAGAGCTCATCTGATGTTTATCCATCCCAGTTAGGTCTTCAGAAAAAGCAAACGTGCACCATAAGCACAGAGCTGATTAATCAAATTCATAATGACTTACAGTTTTTAGGGGGCAGAGTGTTTGAATCATGCTGCTCTGATCCTGCAGAGGAGCAGTAAGCTCTTTACAAGCTGGTTGAGAAGGAGTAGCCGTGTAATTCACGTAGGTTTTGACAGTGTCAGCCCTACGGAGTGCTTTAACCACAGGTTAAGTTGCTCAAGTGCGGTGTCAGTTGCAGTGCAGTGCATCGCCTCTGACTGCTCGGAGGAGAACTTCGCACACAGCTCCTTGTCAGTGCGCCAGCCTAGCGTGCTGTTTACATGGTGAGTTGCCTGGATAGCGATTATTTATTATTTTAGAAAAATATTTTACATTCATAGATGAAGACACATGCAATAACACTTGAAGAATTAACTATGAAATCATCCACATCTAAAGCAATCAGAGGCTGGGTAGTAGTTTCCCAGTTGGCAGCCTTAACTTTTTCTAAATACATTACTTCCTAATCAGATCAGTTCCAATAATTACTTTGATTAAAGCCCTCTTAGCTATGGAAAATAAGATTTTTTTTCATCTTACCTCATGATCCAGGGAAACGCTTGACAGGACAGACTGGTGTAGCAAAACACCGAGTTGTGTATCAGGAAAGCTGAAGTGTATTTGCACCTCTGCTGGGTGTGTGCTCTGACACATGTCCTTTGTTACCTCAGTTTCCCTACCTGATGCTTTGGTATTTAGGGTGCTGGGGGACCTGCGGACAGCCCGCTGGGAAGCAGGTATGCGGCTGCTGGTGGGCAGCATTAATGCAGCAGCTGCATCGATCTCTGCTGTAGGGTGACAAAAAGACACAGCTCCCCACGGGGAAAGCTTTATGAGAGTTGAGCCCCTTCCGTTGGGTTTGTATGCGTCGAGCTGGCAGAACCCCAAAGGCAGCACCGGGAAGCCCCCTGTGTGTTATGTCAGGTCTAAGGAGGGTCCTCTGTCCGCAGTGGTGTGATGCTGAAGGTGCTTGTAAGAGGTGACAGGAACTGAAGTTGCCCCTAGTAGTCCAGACACCCTTCTGAATCCAGCATTTCTGTTTGTTGGGTGAGGAATCGAGTTAGGCATAAAACACTTCGTAGTTTTTAATCTAAAAATACTGCATCCGTGTAACTTCAAGGTAAGCAGTATGGTGAAAATAGCTTCAAATAGAAGGAGCTGCTAACTCCAGAGCACCTGGAAAGCAAGCTCTGTATACTTGCTTGAAGTAGCACAGTGCTGAAGTATATTATATATCCTGCTATTTGTTGCCAGCATACAAAGTGTGAGGAGCGGCAAAAAAAATACACAACTGAACCAGCTGGGTTGGGATTTACCTGTGTGTGCAAACACGCGCAGTGGCAGCACGGCAAGCACGTCGTTATCGGCAGAGTAAGGCTGAGAGTGAGACTCTAGGGCACGTGAGCTTTCTGGAAGCCTCACGTGAGAGAAAAGGGACCTGCCCTTATTTAGGGTTCGTTTAAGAAGTGATTTAAGTGAGCGAATTAACGGGAACTCGCATCAAATCGGAGCGGCTCTCAGCAGTTCAGCTCTAGCTGTACTGATTCAGCCTAAATCACACCTCGGTTTACTTTAGGCCATTCCAAATTATGATTGCTTTGATTCATCCTGTATTTTAGGAGGTGCTAATTAGAGGCAGGTAGGTAATTCAATCTCCGGATTAGGCTATACCACAAGGACTTCCCTGGCGCGGCGATAGCAGCCTCGTTAGCGGTGAAACCCCTGCACAAAGGGGTTCCCTGTGCCAGCACGAGCCGCGCTGCGCTCGCCGTGCTTTAGCTGGATTTGATGACACCAGATGAGTATTTCCCCCCGCTCTCACATTTCCGACAGCCTCGCCACCCCTGCAGACCCTCGGGTTTGGCACCAGCGCGGATTTCCTTGGCTCCAGGGGTGTGTGGTGCCTCCTACCCGGCGGGCGGCCGCGGTGCTGCCCCGTGGGATCCTGCCTTGTCCACCACCGCAGCCTCAAGGCTTCCCCTTCCATAGCGTACCTCTCAGGGCGTGTTTTTTGAAGTATTTGCTATTTCAGGAAGGAGTGGGCTGCCTTGATGCGGCAGAGCTGCGTTCTGTGTTTGCCTTTGCCCTCTCTGCATTTCCCAAGCCCTTCTCGCACAGGGCAACCCAGCGTCTGTCCCCGCTTGCCAGGACCCTCTTGTTTCCCAGGGGAGCTCGTCCAGGTACGGCAGCTCCAGAGCCCAGGACCTGGGGGCCTGTCCGGGGTGGGCCTGGCAGCGTTAACAAGAATCTGCCAGGATTTGGGGATAGAGGGGTGAGAGAAGGCCGAGTGCTGGCAGTAGGTACTGTGCAGCAGTTAGCGCTGCTCCTGTCTTTGCCAAAGTGTAGCAGCCTGAAGTGTTCAGGTTTGTCTTCTGAGGACAAGAAGTCCATGAGAAGGAGGTAACTTATAAATAGGGGGGATACCGACGGGAACATTAAGGGTACTTGCAGGCTTTGTGTGTGCTGGATTTAAATACGGGATCTTTGATTGAGTTACCCAGCCCAGTTTGTTTGACACCTTCTTAAACTCTTGTCAAGAGCAAGCCGTTGTAATTACATCAAGTTAAGGACAGTTGGAAGATCTTGTTTATTGTGCTTTTAAGGCAGAATCTATTAATATTAAAGAAGAAAACAAGCAAGTTAGTGGAAACGCAAAACTTTCAATTTTTGTTCTTAAAAATACAGATTTTGGAGACTCGAATGTAGCTGAAGTGGTATTGTTAAACAGCTGTAATCACTGTGTGTGGAGCTCCTTGTGTGATGCCCAGAGGCCAGACAGCTTGGGAGTGCTCTTTAGAAAAGGTCTTGGAGAGCTCAGCTGGAGCAGTGAGCTGTGGAGGTATGGCTCAGGTGAAGAGGTGCCATGCTTAATTGGTGTGCTTAATTATCCCGTTGGATTTATTTGAAGATAATTTTCTAGTGATAGTAGATTGGTTTATTATATATCTGGAAAATGTTTTATAATGTTCGCTCTCTAAGATTAATAGTTAATATAAAAACGTCCTGAGGCAATTAGCATCGTAGGGTTCCAACCCATAAAGTAGTTCAAGAGCAGAAGATAAACATTTGTCATCAGTGATCCGTGCTTTCAAAGTTAAAAAGTTATTTCACGAAGACTGCCCTCTGCTCTTTCTCCTCTCTATGTATTTTCTGTTCCCCTTTTTCTGCATTTTGGGTGCTGTGAGGTCAGAGAGGTGTGTGCAGCTTTCCGCATGCCCTTCACCTTGTTGCTGGCAGCTCGAAAAGCTCTGGGCCCGCATTTGCAGACAGACGTGTTTTGTCAGGATTTCTGGGGTACAGGGCTCTTTCTTTACTTTTAAAATAGGGTGACCGTGCTGATAAACCCGCTGCCGTTGTTGCAGCTTACTCGGCGTTGCCAGTCTTTGTTTGTGCAGTCAGACAGCGCAGAGCAGCAGGAGCAGCCCCACAGCGTGAATTTATTGATGCTGAGCACTTGGTGTGCAGGTGTCCGTGGAAGAAGGGACAAACCTGGAGCAAAAAGTACATAAAGGGATGAGGGTGAGAGCCTTCAGTGAGCCATCACGGGATAGAAGCAAATGGAATAAGAGCTGGATGAAGTTTTCTGAGGGGCTGGCAGGTGCCTTCTCACCTGCCTGAGTCCTTAGCCCAGCTCCGTGCCTTTCCCCCTGCCTACAGAGTTCAGCTGCTTCTGCGCAGAGGCTGCCGAGTTTACTCAGCTCATGACAGGTGGTTGTTTAAACTCATTGGCTGGTCTTGCTTATCCTCTGTGTTCAGAGGGCGTTTAAGAAGCTAAATTCTGTTTTATAAAACACGAGTGGTAAGGATGAGGAGAAGACTATATATTTTTTTTTCTCCTTAGAAGCCCAGTTTTTAAAATACTACTCTATGAGAGTTTTTGGTCCACTGTGGTGTTCAGGGACAAAAGATGCTGACCATTAGCATGAGTAGTGTGTCTGCTTTAGATATATATATATATAAGTTATTTTGGAGTTTTGGTGCCGTATTGTAAGTGCAACAAATGAGGATCCTTCTTGAAAAGGGTAATCACAAGCACGAGCTAA